CCCAGGTTGGAAGGGGGAGGAAGGAGAGAAAAAGAAAATCATGTCTCTTTTCAAAAATAAGACTCAGAGCAAGGAGGGCCATATTCTAATCCTGAAGTTTTCAAGTTCTAAATTAATAGGTCTTTACCTCCTCTGGAAGTTGCCTAAGATGTCCTCAGTCTTTTGGATCTCTCCTGGAGCATGAATGGGCTCTACCACCAGGTGTAAGCCACACAGCACTATCTCCAGGCAGGAGGAAACGACCAGCAAGAAGAAGAGCGTCACATTCCAGGGCACCACTTTGAGTGGTTCCTCACACAAATTCCAGGAAGTATCATTCTTCAAGTAAGTGCCTCTGTGGACAGGTAGGGTCCAGTGAGTGAAGGAGGTCACGTGGAGCCCTACCCCGACCCACAGTCCCCTCCACTCGCAGGGTGGGATTTTTCAAAGGGTTAGTTAGACCCACGTGGAGGGAATTCTCCTGAAGCTCAGTGGCACCCACGTGGGAAGAGCATAGGAGCCATGGGATGCAGAGACTGGGGGGAGGGTCATTGACAGATGTTAAGCCTTACGCCGTTTCTTGGAAGTGATAGTCCCACTCGCCGTTTATGGAGCATTTGGGTCCAATTCTGAGGCCGACTCCTGACACTGAGAGGCAGTAGATGGCACCAAGCATTCCGAAGACTGAACACCAGCAGGAACATGGAATCTGGACCCGGTGTGCAAGGTGAGCTGAATAGGGCCGCCCGGTCCCCACTCATGGCCTGACCGCACCTAGCTCTGAGCCCCCCACCACCCCCAGCCCCCTGCCACATGGCCAAATGACTCTGGAGCCAGGTTAAATAGAGATTCTGGGGGCTGGGGAAGCCATCCCGAAATAGTGCGCTTGAAAATACATTTTCCTATAAGCCCTGGGCTTAGAGTTAAGCAAAATTAGGGCCAATAGATATTCATTGCCTTGAGGAATTCTGTGGAGCCTGCTGTGGCTCAGGGAGAGACTAGTTTAGAAACCGAATCCTCAATCTCTCTCTCTCTCTCTCTCTCTCTCTCTCTCTCTCTCTCTCTCTCCCTCTTTGTGGAGTGTTAGGCTCACTGGGGATATAACCCAGGAGTGCGCTACCACTGAGATTGATCCACAGCAGCCCCCCACTTTAAAAAATATTTTTATTAGTTGTTATTGATCTGTATTTTATTTATTTATTTGTGAGAACCCACTGTCTCACACATGCCAGGCAAGTGCGCTACCAGCTGAGCCCCAGCCCCAGCCCCAGCCCAAGCCACATCTCCGGCCTCATCCACACCTCCCTCCCTCCCCCCCTTTCTTTCTTTCTTTCTTTCAACTTTACTTATAGATGGACACAATACCTTTATATAATTTATTTATTTCTATGTAGTGCTGAGGATTGAACCCAGTGCCTCACAACATGCTAGGTGAGTGCTCTATCACTGAACCACAACCCCAGCCCCGCCTTTTTATTTCTTATTATTAATGAGAGAGGATCCTGCAAAATTGCCCCGGGCTGGCCTCAAACTTGAGAAGCTCCTGCCTCAACCTCCAGAGTCACTGGGATTACAGGGGTATGCACTATGCCCTGCTGAATCTCCTTTTAATTTGGATCTCACCCAGTTGGGATGTTCAACTGCTGCCAGAACCATTCTGAATCCTGGACACAGCACCTGTGAAACAAGAGTCAGTGTAATAGTGTGAATCTGGCAACAAACCCAGATTCTCAAGGTCTTTACCGCCTCTGGAGGTGGCCTAAGATGTCCTCAGTCTTTTGGACCTCTCCTGGAGCATGAATGGTCTCTAACTTACTTTATCATTATTTATTTTCCTACTTATCTCTGTCCATATTTTAGCTTCCTTGAAGGTTGGGTTCAATATTAAACATTGCCCATACATTTTGGCACATGGTAGATGCCTTTCTGAATGGAAATCAGGAGGACCTGAGTTGAAGGCAAGGGCCATACTACTTCACACTCAAATGAGTTGATTCATTTCTCTGGGTCTCAGTTTGTCCTATGTTAAATTGGTTTGTAAAATCTATGTCATGAGTTGCTTTTAGGATTTAATTGTAACTGGTGGGCCTGCTGTCAAGACTGCTTTAGAGTAAATGCTCCTTAGCTATAAATGCCTTCAGTAGTGGGAAGATGTAGTGGTATTGGGAGGTCTGGTGAGCTAGGATATGCTCGAGTATGCTCACAAATGCTGTGATGTGGAGTGTGGGATTTCCTAAGATCCAGCCCCTGAACTTTTTTTCTTCCTGTGACTTTTCCCACAGGAAGATCACTCCTGCCAGGGAATCAGCTATTCCCCTGCCAATAGTTACCTGTACATGCCTAGAGAACCAAATCTAACTGCAAGAAGGATGTGTTCACTCAAATGTCTTAGTTGTAGCTCAGATTCAGCCTGTACCAGAAGTGACCTGATAATACTTCCCAAATTCATCTCCCTTTGATTTCCTCATCCTTTTAGTTGAAAAATGTCATCCACAAGGTCACCTAGGCTGGAAAACTTTAATCCTTTTGCACCTTGCCAAACTCAAGTCTTCTTGACTTTTGCTTCAATGGCTCCTGAATCTATCAGTCCTTTCTCCTTCTTCTCCCATTCAATTCCTAATCACGTTCCATGAGGAAGATGTTCTTAGCCTCTCTACTCAGTCCCCTTAGCTCTTGCCCCATGCCACCCCACACTTCACCATTCATGCCCCACCAGGTTAACCTTGGTGTTGCCAGGGTGGGATGGGGCACACCTGTGAGCCCAGAGATCCAGAAGATTGAGGCAGGAGGATGCATGTTCAAGAGCACCCATGGCAACACAGAGAGAGCTTATCTCAACATAAAAAAATAAAGGCCTGGGGTTGTAGCTCAGTGGAAAAATGTGGCTGAGTTCAATTGAGGGTGGGGGGGCAGGGGTGGGGAGGATTTTCTTTTTTTTTTTTTTTTTTGTATTGTTTTGGTACTGGGTATTGAACCAAAGAGCACTTAACCACTGAGCCATATCAATAGCCCATTATTACATTTGTATTTAGATACAGGATCTCAATGAGTTGATGAGGGCCTTTTAAAGTTGCTGAGGCTGGATTTGAAATTGTGATCCTCCTACCTAAGCCTCCTAAGCCACTGGGAATATAGATGTGAGCCACAGAGCCTTCTGTGAGGAGGGTTTCTTAATCCTTTGAGGCTCCTCACTTTGCCTCCAGCCTTGACATTGCTTTCATAGCCCAGGCCAGGTTCTTTGTTCATCTCCCATCCCTGGAATTCCACAGCTGTTTTGATCCTTCCCTCCCTTTTGGTCTTGTCTGGCATACACCATAAAAGGCAGCATTTTGTTCTTTTCCAGGGAAAGGGCTGAGAATTTTAGTTCTGTTATATCATCCCCAGCAACCTCAGAGAAGCACCTGATGAGTGGAACCAAATTTCCACCAGCACTCTCCCTTTCCTCCTCCTGTGTCAGGGCAGATTCAGGGTCAATACTGACCCCACTGTTTACCCTCTCTGGTGAGGTCACTTACTGGGAGGATTTAGGATCCACAAATACCTAGAATTGCCTTCTGATATTCTTGTGTATGTGTGGGTTGTGTTGGTGGAGATCTAATCCAGGGTCTTTCCATGCTAGGCAAGTGCTCTAACACTAAGTTGCACCCCCAAATCACATTTACCAATTTCGAATCACCCACCTCCTTGAGAATTTTACTTTTGGCCAAATTATTGGCTTCCTTTTGTGGGGTAAACTTCTTTGTTTTCTTCCCTGCCATCTAACTATCTTCATGAAAAGAGAAGTGTCACCATAAATTCAGGAGGCAACACTCTTATAGCTCAAATCTCCTCACTTTTCTCTATCACCATGGCCACTGGGCTATTTGAAGGTACTGTCTTCCTTCCATGATATTAGTCTCATCTCTGTGCATCTATGGCTGACCAGGTCCTACTATCCATTCTCCACACAAGATCCAGAGGGATATACTTCAATTCAGTGGGGTTTGGAGCAACTAGAACTCTCACACTGTGCTGATAGGAATTAATGGATTAAAAAAAACAAACTTCAGAAAACTACTTGCCAGTATTAGCACTGAATATTTGCAAATGTTAAGAGTCAGCAGTGTTACTCCTATCTAAGAGCAACAATGGAAATAATCACATATGTTCACCTAAGGCAAATACAGGAAGGATGATAGCAACATTATTTGCAAAAAAGACCCAAACTGGGAACTATCCAAATGTCCACCAGCAGTAGAATGTTTAAGTTGAAGTGTATTCACATGATAGAATGCATAAGAACTAAAAAAGTAGAGCTACACAAAATAACATGGATGGTTCTCACAAATACAATATTATGCTAAGGAAGCCAGACACAAAAGAACACATAGTGTATAATTTCATATTATATAGAATACTAAAGAGACCAAAGTAGTTTCTGGGGTTAGAAGACAGAATAATGGTTAACCTTGTGAGTTTTGGGTAGTACCTGGTGATAGGATATCTGGGATTCTGGTAATATGATCTGTGGGTTTTTTGTTCATTTGTTTATGAATTGGGGTTTTTCCATTTCACCCAGGTCAACCTGGAACTCCTAGTGTCAGCCTCAAGATCCTCCTGCCTCTGCTTCCTGAGGAGCTGGGACTACAAGTGCACGAATGAATTGGTTTTGGAGTGGGTGTTGGGTAGATGGGTATGTTCACTTTGTAAAACTACATTGAGCTGGGGCTAGGGATGCAGCTTAGTAGCAGGACATGTGCTTAGCATTCAAATGACCCTGAGTTTAATTCCTAGCATGTGTGCGCGCGCACGCAAACACACACACACACACACACAACCAAAAAACAAAAAGAAAAATCCCCAAACTTCTTGCCCTAAATGCTGTTTATGATAGCTTTATTTATTTATTTATTAGGATACCAGAGATCGAATAACATAGGGCACTCTGCCACTGAGTTACATCCTTAGCATGAACTCTTTTTCTTCTCCCCCCATCTCCCCATATTATATGGTCTAATTTTCCCAGGTTGATCTCAATCAAACTCATGATTTTCTTATCTCTCTCTCTCTGTCTGTCTCTTTGCATTACTGGCAATTGAACTCGGGGTATGTTTTCACCAAGCCCCATCTGAGTCCTTTTAATTATTTATTGCCTAGGTTGTTCTCAATTTTGTGATTCTCCCTGCCTCAGCCTCCTGAGTTCCTGGGATTACAGACATGTGTTACCATGCCTGGCTGGCTTGTTCTCTCTCTCTCTCTCTCTCTCTCTCTCTCTCTCGTACAGGGGATCAAACCCAACATCTCATAAATTCTAGGTACATGCCCTACCAATGAGCTCTACCTCCAGGCCTATTTCTTTTTATTTTTGGTGATACCCACTCCTGTCTGAAATCATCTTCATTCATTTGGTGACTATTAACCTATTTCCTGTTAGGTGAAGGCACTAGTCTAGGCACCAGGCACACAGCAACCAACAAAACAGGCAGTCCTTGCTCTCATGGGGCTTCTAGTCTTGCTTCCTCGTAATATTTACCTCCACAAAGGAACACAAGCTTCCAGGGGAGCAGAGACCTTGTGTCTCTGAGGCTTAATGTGGCATTTCCTGAGAGTGCCTCAAGTTGTGGAGGAGGAGGAAGATACCTGTCAGAATATTTGGAGCACCTCCTTGGAGATTGCCAGTGAAGAAGAGTAGCTAGACTGGGTGGAGGAGTGGGGGGATAATTTAAGCCGAGGAAGGGACATGATGTGACACTGGAGAGTGTGTAAGTGTGGGAGGAGTGTTTCATCACAGAGAGAGTTGAGGTCAGAGAGATGGAATAGTATCCGACAGCCATGAATCTATGTAAGAGATGGGGAGTAGAAGACAAGAAGGAGTTGCTAGTTCAAGGAGAGTTATCCTCATTTATCTAATAGAGATGTAGCCTGGAATAGGGGCATGGTAAGACCTCTTCTAGAGAACGTTCTGTCATCTGTCCTGAAAAGAGGGAAACTCTGCTGGGTAGATCTCTCAACTTTGCCCCACACAAATATGACACTAGGTTGACCATCTAAAACTTCCCCTAAACGGGGAAAGAGAGGAGGAGGAGGTCCAGGAAATCTGTGTCCCCTCTTCCTCCACTTCTCCTAGCAGGTCCTCATGTCCAGGAAGCCTTGGGGGCAACTTCTCTGTCTTACTGACCTGCTTCTGAGTTTACCCTTAGCACCCAGCACAGAGTGGGCATCCAGAATGTGGGCTGAGAGACAGTGGATGAGGAGGAGGGAAGGACAGCACTGAGCTGATAGATAGAGTGACTGATGGGTGACATCACTGCCTGGCTCCAGACATTTTTGCTGCTTATTATTTCCCTGCCCTGATAACCTCCCACACAACCAGCTGCTCCTTTTGCTTGACCCTTGTAGTGAGGGGTCCCCAACATCTGTTCAGCTGCAAGGGCAAGGGAGGGTCAGGTAGGACATGTTTGACCCAGAAGGGAAGCTTTTTAGAGACTTGAATCTCCCCTCCCTGCCTTCCCCTTCCCTAGACATTCATCTCAGTTCCTTGGGGGCTCCTTCTGGGATGTCTACAGAGTGCTGAGTGTGTAGGGGAGGATGGGGCACATTCCTTGTCCCCACCAAGCACTTGCCATCCCCTCTGGAGCTCTGTCCTTTTCCCTCTCCCCTCCCTTCCCATTCAGAACTCCTTATGGTTGTGCCCACACCCATGGTCACTGGCCTGTGCTCTAGACTCCTCACCATCAATCCCCCGCCGATGAAGCCAGGCATGAGCAAGACATGCATGCTGAGTTGGTCACTGCTCCAGGTCTTCCCATCAGGAACCAGTAGGAAGGCATTGGCCACGATGCAGACTAGGGAAAGAGTAGTTAGAAAGAGTCCCACACAGCAGGCACGGTTCCATGGTTTCATGGTGAGGCAGTGAGTGAAAGTGAGCCTGAGGTCCCTGGGTGCAGAGGAAAACAGGTTGGAGCATGAGTAAAGGTCAAAGAAAAGATGTGGTAGAAATTGGCAGGATCACAATGATAAGGGAGAGAGGCCCTTATCACCAGCTGCAGCTTGTGAGGAGTAGGGGTGGATGGGCTGATGGAGCACTTGGTGGAGTTACTCACACACTGCAAGATGCCTGGTGTCTGTGTCTTCTTTTTCTGCACCCAGGTGTTTGTAGTCTTTCTTTGATTCCTTACCTGTTTGAACATATTACCAAGCCATTATATGTCTCTAAGTCACAATTGCCTCATCTCTATAAAGGCTAGAGTGGTACCCCTTGCCTCCTGAGCTGGTTGTAATGATTCCTTAGGACAGGGGAGTATTTGGTAAACTAGGCAGCTCAAAGAATATGTACAGTGGTCTCATCATTTTTCTTTGTCTCATGGAGAGAGTTCCTCCCAGAACGAAATAAAGAGGATAACAGCAGGCTTCAGTTGTCAGTTTATTTCATATATATATTTAACTGGGTATTGAACCAGGAACACTTAACTACTGATCATCTCCAGCCATTTTTTGTATTTTATTTAAGACTGGGTCTTACTGAGTTACTTAAGGCTTCATTAAGTTGCTGAGGCTGGCTTTGAACTCATGATCCTCCTGCCTCAGACTCCCAAGGTCTGGGATTATAGGCATGTGCCACTATGCCTGTCTTCATTTTATATTCCTAATATTTGTTTATTGACTCTCTCTCCTTTAGAGACTACTACCTGTTTCTCAGAGTAAACTTGAGACTGAGGCCTGATTTGTTAGAACATTGCATTATTTGGCCTCAACCTTTGACTCAGTGATGACTGTACAATCCAAGGCATTTCCATGAAGAATCCATTTTTAAATTTATATATTTGTGTTCTTGTTTTTGTTCACCATTTGGAGGTGAAATAAATTCTGTTTTTTTGTTTGTTTGTTTGTTTGTTTGTTTTGGTACCAGGGAATGAAGTCAGGGGCACTCAACCACTGAGGCACATCCCAAGCCCCCACTTTTATAAAAAAAATAATTTTTAGTTGTAAATTAGTCTTTTTATTTTAATTAATTAATTTATTTATATGAGGTGCTGAGGATTGAACCCAGGGCCTCACACATGCCAGGCAAGTGCTCTACTACTGAGTCACCACTCCATCCCTTCCCTAGCCCTATTTTGTATTTTAATTAGAGACAGGGTCTCACTGAATTGCTTAGCACTCCATAAATTGCTGAGGCTGGCTTTAAATTCACAATCCTCCTGTTAGCCTCCTGAGCTACTAGGATTTCAGGTGTGCACCACTATGCCCAGCTAACTAGCTTATCTTAATGGGAAGTAAAAAATAAAAGCTGTCAGTCACAAAGAATGGGGCAGTAAGTTACAGTACTAAGAAATAAAATTATAACCTTGGGACAAAATAGTTTCCCTCTTTTAAAGATCTCACTGGAGTCTCTATTTGGCCAGAGAA